TGAATCAATAGCTCTCTCAGGTTAAACAAAAGAAGTATGAACTCTATAATAAATTTGATTAAAACATTTATTTCTCAGAGACAAAAAAATTACAATAGTATTTTTGAAAACTTCACATTACAACCACCTTCATTTTCACACCATCTGCTTATCGGTGACTGCTTTAGTCCTAACACAAGAAAAAAAAATAAGTTACACGCAATCCCTTTAAACATATTGTTTGATATACAGTCACTTTGTACAAAAGGATAATGATAGATACTCTCAGAGAATTAGAAAATGTTAATCATTTATCTTAGACCTTTCCATTGTGCTTGTCCTAGTAAAAAGTATATGTTTTTAGGTTGTTTTAGCCCAACAATGATAAAAAAGTGAACAAAAACCCAACAGAATAGTCTCTTTCCGTAGGAGTCTTAAGGAAATTCACATTCAAAAATCCCCAAAATGAATAATAAACCAGACACTGCCAGGAATTGAGGCTAATCAATTTCTGAGATTCTTGGTAAACACTAGAGGGCACAGTTGATGTCTTTTTGACTTTTGAGTTTCAGGAATACTGTACTGTAAATTTAGCTGATTGACAGCATTAAATTTAACTTCGATGTTCTATTACAAATTTTTCTCTACACACACAATTCATGTAACGCCCCAATTAAAATCAGTACCCAACACCTAAAATCAATAGAAAATATGTTCTCATTGAATTACAAACAGTAACTTTGAAACAATCAAAGTAAATTTCTTAATAATCCTTCTCTACTGTATCTGCTGGTTTTTAATACTATAATAAAATTACTGTACATAAGTTGGAAATATCATAAAAATCCAACAGATTTTGTAAAATATGAAAATTTACAGTCATACATAAAACACTATCAGAAAGCATTTATTAGGTGGAAATAACTTTATCCAATCAAATTGCTGGTAATTATCGGTGAAAATATCCTTATTCAAAACAGAGGCATATTTAAGTCCCAGACCAAAAATTGTGAAGGTTTTTTTTTCTAAATAGGGGAAAAAAGAAAATTGCATTTCAATTTATGTTTAGAGTGCCATTTCCAGCCATCTAAGGTTATAAGCCACCACCTGTAACATACCCTCCCCATGGACCGCTTATTTCACAATTCTGGATCCGCCACTGCAATGTCACCATTATTAAATTTATTTAATGCATTTTTACGGTTTCATCTTGTTTAAAAAGCTGTAAGGATTAGCAATAATACAGATTAGTATACTTAGGATAAATTTATGTACAAGTTGGTTCTTTAAATGGCACATAATTATATTTGATAAACATTTTATGAAACTTGAATTAAAATTTTTAAGAACATGTATAAATATATCCCCGCCATGGCTCAGGCAACCAATCAAATTACAGTAGATCAAAATGTTTTAGGTGTCAAACCTCAGGCTCACAGGCCATCTTTAACAAACAAGAGAGGATCAAATCAACTCCCACCACCACCGAACCATTTTGACCACAAGTATACATCAAGTAACTTATCTATTTTAAAGCCAAGCTACACTGCCACTATGAGGCCAACAACACTTTCATTTTCAGGCAGAAATGTGCTCAAATATTCATTAAACACATGTAACTTTCTGAATGGCAAAAGGTTGTCTGTCTACAAGAAATATGCAAGCATAACACCAAGTTAACTCAAAATTCAATTAAGATTGATACTGACTATAACAATACCAAATATATCTATTCACATACAAGACAATAATTATGAGAATGTTTCCCCAACTGAAGACGGAAGTGAAGAAGCTAACGATGGAGGTGATGATGATGAAGATGATGTTGATGAAGATGATGATTATGATGCTGATAATGATATTGATGACAATGATCATGTTGGTATTGATGATAATGATGTTGATGAAGCTGATGATAATGATGATGCCGATAATGATATTGATGACGATGATCATGTTGGTATTGATGATAATGATGATGATGATGATTGACGATGATGTTGATGATGATGATGATCATCATCATCATCATCATCCTCACCACCATCATCCTCTTCATCATGATATTGGTAATAATGAGTATCAGCTGGTGATTGCGATGAAAGTAGTAGTAGTAGTGATGGCAATCATTATGCTAAGGACAGTGATACTCCTGATAAAGATGAAACAGATAATGATGACCATTGCGATCTAACATTCATATGGAAGAATAACAATGATAAGACTATTACATTCATATTAATTTACAATACCAACTGTTAAATAACATTGTACTATAAAAAAAAACTGCTCAGAAAAAAAGTAAGAAAGGAGAAAATACTATATAACTTACAAATACAATAGGATATCTCATAAACTGAAAATTGGTAGAATTCACACAATAACTGAAATTGGCTCTCAAGGCTTAAAGCACAATTATATCTGGTATGGAATTTGCAAAAATCTTCTTTGAACACATAAAATAAGCAAGGCACTCTGCTTTTAATTACCAAGTTCTTGGTTCAATTCCTACTTGTCTGCCATATTTAAACAGGCCATATTATGACACTGTTAAACCAACAGTTCCATTATAAAATTAGTAATGTTTTTTTGTTGCAGATTTTAAGGTAGCAAAAACATAAAATAACACTTATGAAATTTAATACTGAAAAATGATCTGCTATGTTTCAGAATATTAAAAATACTATGTATAAAGTTAATAATAAACTCTATTAAACTGGAACTGAGCATGTGAGAAAACCACTGATGTATTAATATTATGTGAAATAGTCTATGTATTATTCATAGTCAAATAAGAGCAAGACAAATTTTATTGCTGTCCTCTGAAGCAAACATTCCGCAAACTGTGGTCTGTGACACACCAGTTCATGCCCAAAATATTTTGGTGGGTCGCAAAGCCTTAAAAGAAAACACCAAAAATCAGCTGGCTCAATTCTGTTTTAATATTATAGGCATTATGATAATTTTAAACATTTATTTTGTAAAATAACAATGAAGCCATCAATTTGCATCAATTATTATTCATTTGCTGTGATACAACAAAGTACAATGAGGATACAATCACTATTGTACCTTATGAATATTTATTTTTGTTTACGCATTGTTTACTTATTTTAATCTATATTTGAAATTCTAGTCCTAAAATCATGGACTAGGGCTAGTTCTCTGAATTAGGCATGTATGGATAAGGGGTCAGTGGGTCGTAATTCATGTCTGAATTTCAGAAAAGGGTCATCAGTTTAGAAGTACACGGAATGCTGCTCACAAGTGGACATCACATGTAATATTGAGCCCATATCAACTACCCTTTGCTGAAAAATACTTTACCAGATTTATACTTACTTTTGATGCATAATTTAACAATTTAATGAGTGATTGTTCGATTGATTTTCAAAAGTGTAAATGCTCCCAATATTTTATCCTTTTTAAATCTTTTTTGTAAGCTTACACTGATCATTAATGTTTATTGATTTTGAATTTTTCAATATATATATACAGTATTTCATCATTTAAAATTTTGGATGTTTTATCCTAAATTTGTTGTACATTTTAATTCAGTGATTTTGATATTCTAATAAAAAGAATGAATCCAACTGAAAAAGAACTGAATTAAAAAAGAATTGAATTGAAAAATAATTGAATTGAAAAATAATTGAATTGAAAAATAATCAAATAAAAAAAAAAAGTAACTATGCATGACTAGGCCTATTTTGAAGAAATATTTAACCAAAAAACCTAAATGATATACTTTACATTGCAGATTTTAGTGATGATAGTCATTTGATGAAACTGAGCCATCATTTTATATGAACATGATATAAGTTTACCAGTAATTTAATTACTATTTACACTGAAAAACATGTTCAGTATCACACTGACTTTCTTCAACATTACCTAAGCCTTGTTCGCACTGGATTTAAAAAATGGTAAATTTAACCAGGGTAACTTTAACCAAATTCATAGGTACATTTCACCATTGTTCACACTTGGATTATTCACGCGGTTAGTTTTACCATAGTTTTACCAAGATTTAACCTTGTGTACAAAAAATATTATTGAGGGCACTAGTTTGTGACTTCAACTTCCGGTTTTGTTCGAGTGGTGTCAACATGGAAAAGTTTTAACCGTGTGCACGTTCGGATTGGACTTCTTGACCAGCGTGGTTAGTTTAACCGAGACCGTGGTAAGTTTTACTGGACAGGCTGAGGTCGGTAAAATTAACCATTCGGCTTGGTTAATTTAACCCTGAGGGAATTGTAACCGACGTTCGGATTGGATTTTTTTTGGTCAATTTAGCCAGTGACTCGGTTAATTTGACCAAATTAAGTCCAGTGC